ACAGAACATAGTTAAACTATGGGACTTAAGACCCACAAAAGACCAACTTGGGTAGCTTTGAAAGTGGATTGGACAAATTGATTGAGGCCACAAACTAATCAACAGTCAGTACAGGCCTTGACAGGATTGGTGTTATAAGATCAATCACATCGTCTACTCCCAGTCTGGCCACTGAATTCTGCACTAGCTGCAGTTTCCGAACTGTTTTCAAGGGCAACCCTGCTTGCAGTGCATTGCAGTAATCTAACCTAGGGGGTTACCAGAGAATAGACAACAGAAGCTAGGCTACCCCTTGTCCACATAAGTTTCCAGCTGCACAACCAGCTGAAACTAACGGGAGTTCATCCATGGAATTGTAATCCAGGGAGGGGCTGCTTTTCATAGCGCTGAACTCGTGGCCCTTCCACCTGCCCCGCTTTCGGCACGGCCTGCATATTGTGATGTTTCACAGATTCTAGCTTGGAAAAGGTTTGCATGGGACTCAAAGATAGAACGGAAGCCTTCCTCCTCTCCCCCCCCCCGGCTTCTTTTGATCGGACTGTTTCTCAGGGTTAATCTCTGGCAACAAGGATGTAATTCCATTATTTGATGAAACAGTGTCCAATAAAGCTGTTCCATAGCTGAAAGGTCTTGGCATTTAATATTTGATAGTGTAAATCCCACATGGATCTTAAGACAGAGGGAGAAAGATTACATTTTAAATTAACGTCCTTACAAAGCCATATGGCTTGTTGCTTCCCACATTTAAAAGACCAACAGTGATTTCCAAGCATAATATCGGCTCCCAAATAGATCATCCACATTAAATTGCTTTCCAGACTTCCCCAAAATGAGATACGAGAGTAACCCTTTGCATGCTGCATTGCTTAGTAAAAAGCCAGCACTTTTAAAAACTCATATCTTGATAAAAGCGCTGTGGGGGCCAGCACAAAAGAGTAATCCACTGCAGCAAAAAAAGTGGTGACAATACTCTGTACCAGTGACATAGAGATGGAGGGGAAATTCAATTAAGTTCACATTTAAAGCTAAACCTATCAAATGCATGCTTTCCAGGAACAATATGCAAACAGAACACAGCTATTCTTCAAAATCCACATTGATCCACATTGATCCGAAGTTTGCAACACAGTTCTCCAATCGAACACTGTTTATAAAATTGCATATTTTGGCTAGAGTGTTCCTAAATATGTACATAAAATGCATTATATTCTGGGAAATTTCTTGCAAAAAAAGGTGTACATTTGTATTATCATTATTAAAATTTCCATACTGCCCTTCATATGTGGACCACAGGGTGGTTTACAATATAAAAACACAAAAATGCATAACATGGTAGCAAACAAAAACAATGCCCCACCAATAGTTTAAAAGGCCATGGATTGTTTAATTAGCCAAGGGCCTGGGAGAAGAGGAATGTTTTTGCCAGGTGTCGAAAGATATGCAATGAAGGTGCCAGGCGAGCCTCACTAGGGAGAGCATTCCACAAGCAGGGAGCCACTGTAGAAAAGGCTCGTTCTCATGTTTTCACTCTCTGGACCTCTCATGGGAGGAGAAACAGGAAGAACATCCTCAGAAGATGGTTGGAGGGTCCAGGTCAATTCATATGGGGTAAGGTGGTCCTCAAGGTATTGCTGCCCTGAGCTGTTTAAGGCTTTATAGGTCAAAACAAGAACTTTGAACTGGGCCCAGAAACTAATTGGCAGGCAGTGCAATCAAGCTACAATTGGCATTATATCCTCAAGTAATCATGCCCCAGGGGACAACCTAGAGACTGAATTCTGCACTACTGAAATTTCCAAACTGTCTTTGAAGGCAGCCCATCCTGATCACTCCCCAGCCACACGGCGGGTACTTAATTCTTTATTGTCCAAAGCAATCACTAATAATAATAAGAAGAAAAAATTATTAATATCCCACCCTCCCCAGCCGAAGCCGGGCTCAGAGCGGCTAACAACAATAAAAGTAACACAGCATTCTAAAATCAATTCATTTTAAAATCAGTTCAAAATCAAATTAATGGCAACCACTGGGCTAGAGTTCTATGAGGATTACCAAGGGATTATAGTATATAGTATATAGTATATAGTAGCTTCTACGGGACTCTGACTACACTTGAACACAAGTTATATACTGTGTTAGAAGCTGTTCCCCGTCCACATCCTACTGAGCAGTTGCAACAACTGAGAGTCATGCCCCTCCATCAACTTAAGTACCCCTCTCCCCCAAAAGACTGCATGCCTGAGACTGTGCCTGTGTGGCAGCTGCCATTGCTCTTCCCTTGTCAATTCTCTTCTGGTTCTAGGAGACAGTGGGACAGAAGATGGTGGGGATTCACTCAGCCCTCCACTTGCCCGATCAGCCTCTGCCTTTCCTTTCTCCAAGAAGGCTGGTGTTCCTTCCCCCATCCTTGATAGCTCTAACTCTTCCCCTGGCCCTTGTTCCTGCCTCTGGGGGGGCACTGACCCCCATAAATTGCTGACCCCCTCTCCCAAGTCCATTTCTGGGCCACCTGCATAGGTTCAAGTCCTGCCAGTCCCTGACACAACCCCCCACATAACTCACTGCAGTAATCTAACCTAGAGGCTACCAGAGCATAGACAACAGTAGTTAGGCTGTCCTTGTCCAAATAGGGGCACAGCTGGCCACCTGCCAAAGCTGATGGAAGGTACTCCAGGCCACTGAGGCCACCTGAGCCTCAAGTGACAGCAAAGGACACAGAAGTACCTCCAAACTGGTGCCCGCTCCTTCAGAGGGAGTGTAACCCCATCAAGAGCAGGCAACCTCCCATCCATCTGGTCTAGGGAACTGCCTACTAACAATACCTCAGTCTTATCTGGATTCAGCTTCAGTTTATTGGCTCTCATCCAGTGCATTACAGAAGCAAGTGTAATAAAAAAATTAAGGTCTTATATATATAATAATTGTTCATAAATGTACCAATCAAGCATGTACATAGACATGTGGACCACATGTCTGGAGCAGCACAGGAAGACCGTCCTGAAACCATTTTGACTCCCAAACTGACCAAATGTTTTCTCTGCAAAGAAGGAGGGGGTGGGGGAGCCTTCCCATTGCCTCAAGAAGTGGGTAATCACCATCTCAAAGGAATGGTCAGACTACCAGGAAAGGCAATCAGACAAGGCATTATCAGATAACCTGGCAGACAGGAAAAGCAACAACATTCAAATTTCTGTTGTAGACCACCTTTTCTGTGATGTATGTATGACGTATGGAGTTCCAGGGCAGGGAATTTAAAATGTCTGTATAAGGGCAGGCACATCTTGGTTCTGGGTCCTCCTCCTCTCTCCTGTGTGTGAGGAGCACCCTGTTTCAACAGCTTTAATAAAGATCAGGCTTACTAGCTGCTTTGCTTCTCAATATTCTCTGGTTGGCCTCTGTTAGGGAACCCATGTAAGGACTCTATGCGGGCTCTTGGATACCCCATAAGGGAAAAGGGGAAGATTTTGTTTACAACACTGACCCAGCACTTACATTTCCACATCTTTAGTTTGTTATCACACACATTTCCCCCTATGCAGATCTTATGATATATTTAATAATATTGTGTCTTGCCTCATTGCAGGGGTGATTGGTGTCTATTGGGACAGGAGGAGGAAGATGAGAGCTCAGGAGGAAGAAGCTGGAAGCACGTCATGCCCTGGACTGGTTGCCGGTAAGAAGGCAGAAAGGTGGGAGCTAGCTGAGGGAAGACTGAAGTTGTAGGAGCAGCAACCCATTTGTCCTAGAAGTCTGTCCTCCACTGCCTCATTATTTACAGCTACTATTCACAACAACCCTATATATGTCTACTCAGAAGTCCCACTGAGTTCTGTATGTCTAGGATTGCTTCCTAAAATGCATTGGGTTTCTTGTTGCTGTTTTAAGAACCAAGATGTGGTTAATAATTTTTCAGAGAGTCCGCAAATTTCAAATCCATTTGAAGAATTGCTGCAGAGATTCCTGTTTAAAGGAGAAACAAATCTACGGGGTTCTAGAGGCGCAGGCACCCCCTGGAGGTTCTTTGATCTGTTTTTCAAGCTCATTGTGTAAGCTAATTGCTACTCCTCTGTGCTAATAAAAGGCAAGCGTACCTGCTCATCTCCTTCTGGAACTGGTCCAAAACACACACACACACACACACACCCCTCCACAAAAGGCCCTTCATTTTCTCCAAGCTAACACTTCCCAACCTCCTTTCCACAATAGAGGGAATACATCGTCTTCATCAAACACTGACTCCAGCTACAGTGTTTTGAAAGCTAAAGGGATTCTCCAGATGGTTTGGCTACCACATGCTAATTAATCGCACGGGGACCAAAGACAGTCAGATGTACATCAGCCCCCACCCCTTTTATTCTGACAAGCTTGTTTCATCTCGCATTAATGGCCTGTTCTCTCTGCAGATGAGCAAATTCTGCTTTGTCTCATCTCAAAATGGGGATCAACACAGTGAGCTACCGAGAAGCATAGGAAACTGCCTTAGTACACTGACTGGCAGTCCCTCCCCCAGGATTTCAGGTAGAGAGTCCCACCCAGCCCTACCTGGGGGTGCTGGGGATTGAACCTGAGAACTACTGCACACAGAGCAGATTCTCTACCCCTGATATATGGCCTTTCCCATAAAAAATGAGAGCCTTATACCAAGTCAGTTTGTTGGTCCATCTAGCTCAATATTGTCTGCACTGACTGGCAGCTGCTCTCCAGGCAGCAGGTGCCCAATGTCTGCACTTTCTGGAAACAATTGAAGACATTTCTCTCCTGACCAGCTTTCACAGCTGGAAAATAGGTCTTTATCATGAGGGGTGACTTTGTATGGTTTAAGTTTTGTTTTACATGCATTAGCTTTTCTGTGTTTTTTTTAACTGTTTTCAATTATCCTCAGTGTACATACACCGCCTTGAGGCAGTTGTGTACAAGGCAATTAATAAAGGTAATAATAATAATAATAATAATAATAATAATAATAATAATATTCAGATGAGATCTTGCCCATCTCTGCATGGAGTCATCAGGATTTGAACCTGGGACTTTCTGCATGCAAAAAAAAAAAGCTGTTCTGCCACTGAGCTATAACCCTTCTCCTTCCTCCTCCCCCATCAGAATTATCTTTGGTCCTCAGTTTTGAATATTGTGCTCTGTTTTGCCCCTCTTGGGTGCTGCCACCTCCCCTTCTGGAGAAGGCAGAAGAGCCGTCCTGACTTTGCTGTGATGGACGTCTTAGCTACGAGGGTCAAGTAGGGAAAAAAAGAAAGAAAGAAAGGTTGGCTGGCAAGCAGGAAATCCATCTTTTTTTATTAACCCACCCCCGCCACAAAATGTCTTTAATAATTAGCAGACGTGGCAAAGAGCTGGAGAAACAAAAGAAAACTGTGAAAAGTGAAAGGTGCCCTGCAGGGCATCCAATTAATTAAGGCGGTAAGTGAAGAAGAAGAAGAAATGGAAGCATCTGCAAATGCCTGGCAGATGGGGCTGTAGTCTGCCGAGTCCATCATTAGTTTAAACAGTCTCAGGAAAGGAGGAGGGGAGTACAGAAGAGAAAACAGTGTGATGGAATGACAGTCTGGTCCTCCTGTTCCCTAGGCTTTGGGTGGGCATATGGAGGAAAGCCCATAGGGGAGAGGAGGGGGTTGACTGGGCTCCCCTCTTTGAAATGGAGGGGGTTTAAGAAGGTAAGGAAAGCCCTGCTGGATCAGATTCATCTGAGAAGCTCAGAAGCAGAATATGAATACAATACCACTCTGTCACTTAACTTGCCCAGCAGCTGATATTTAGAGCTATTTGCCCGATTGTGGAGGATAGAATCACAGAGGGTGTCCAGTCCGCTATCAAACATCTCTTAACATCAGAAAGCTATTCTTGGTGTTCAGCTGGAATCTCTTTTCTTGTAACTTGAAGCCATTGGTTCAGTTCAGTTCCTACCAGCAGAAAACAAGCTTCTTCCATCTTCCATGTGACGGCCCTTGAGATGGCTATCATAACTCCTCTTATCCAGGCTAAATATACCCAACTCCCTCAACCTTTCCTCATAAGACTTGGTTCCCAAAGCCTTTATCATACTAGCTGCCCACCTCCTGGATTCAGGCTAGCCTTAACAGGACTGCGGAGAACTCTCAGTGACCTCTGCTGACTGTAACTCTCCCTCTATTTCACTCAGTGGAGGAATGTTGTTTCAGCAAAGGGTTGAAGCAAAGGGTTATGAAGGCTCAAGAGGCCTGTTTCGTGCTCTGTCCTTTGTCCTACTGCTTTGGAGGAGCTGGCTGTGGTCCTGAAAGGACCCTTGTTTCATTCTGTAACTGCTGGCTTCTGTAAGGTAGAGGAGATAGCTTCTGAGGCTGAAGAAGGCAGAAGGATCATTTCCGCTGTCTAGAAGAACACAGGAGAGAGTGCAGAAAGTCCCCTAAGTGGGGCAGTCTGTATCTCCTCATATTCAGGGCAGGGCAAGTGGCTGGTTTCAGGAATCAGGCCAACAACCTATTTTGCAGCACATGCAAATTTATAAGGGAAAGTGAGAACTCTCCTCTTCCCAGGTTCATTTCTGCTCTAATGCATTTAGAATTCATAGATGCTCTACCATCTACTCCAGCAGTGCTATAAAATATTCTCCCACTGAAAGCTTCTTCCTCTTTGGGAAGTGGCATTTTATAGCTGCATTCGACATCCCCTTGATCTCACCCTTGTGCAGAGATTTGTCCTGATAAATAAAAGAGCCCACCAAATTGAATTCCCTTAAAATTTCATCACACTAATCTTTAAGCACTCTCCTTTTGAGCAGCCATTAATTTCCACTTTAGTCAAGGTGGAATATGAAGCCATCTTTGCATTCTGGATACGTATTCCTAATACGAAGGAACGGATGAGGACATTACCTGGCAAGTGGAGAATTCTCTGCCAATGTCTCTTCAAGGGGTGGTGGAAGACATTTTCGACACTTGATAGCAATAAACATGTAAACAATGGAATACACTCATTGTGTTTCTGTTTGTGAAAAACCTTTTTCTTCACACCCAGGTATCTAAATCAACACATCTAAGGACCTGCCAAGGCATGCTGTTAGAACGATAGAATGGGGAGGGGGGATTATAGAATGAAAATGTTGGCATTCAAAGCTGCTTTCCCATCTCCAGGGAAGACTAGGTAGCTCAGTAAATCAAACCCCTCAATCATTGAGATTCTAGGAAAGATACGGTGTTGTACTCTATCAGATAAGTTGTGCAAGGTAAATGAATGTTATAGATCAGGCACAAAGGAAGGATATCTGCGAGTTCCCCGTAGCTCATGATCAACTGCCGTCTCTGTGGCACAATCAGACATGACTGAAGGAAAACAAGCTGTGGCTGCCAGCAATGGGTGTGTTGCAACTGGAGGAGCTCGCACTTGGACAAGGAATCTCCTAATCTTTCATTAAAGCAGAAGCGGAAGTAAGGGAAGAGGAGATGGTCTGTCTTCAGACCTGCTCAAGACATCACTGAGACATCACTGTACCATGTTGGGCTGGCAATGATCTCCTCACATGGAAGGCAACCCACACTCCTTCTCTGGATGGAGACAGAGGAGGGTATTTGGAGATAAAAAGAGGCAGGGTATTGTTAGGTAATGGATTTCCAGGAACCAAATTGATTTGGATTGGCGTAAACCACACTATTTCTACACACAAACACAAGCACACATATATCTGTGAATTTTCTCTCAGACAACCCAATCCTACCTTGGGAGAACTCACACATTGCTAAGACATTGCTCTCTGCTTGACCCTCCAGAAGGCAAACCTATTTCCTTCTCTGTATTAAAGAAGTCCTTTTTGCAATTGCCCCAGCTTGAGTACCTCCCTGGCCCCTTAAATCAAGGCACTGCATTCCCCTTGCCAGACTTCCAGTTCTGATTCATATGTTGCAGCTGGTGTGGTTCTGATCAGCCAGTTGAAACTGATCTTTTAAAGTTCAGCTTCATTAAAAGGCAGAACTTCCCCATGCAACGTTCAATTAAGACGTGGGATTCTAAATGTATCACTGGTCAATAGCTTTAATTATTTTATTTTATTTAAAAATAATTGTTTCATTTACTGCTATGTCTCTGGAGGGCCTTGGTAATTTATATCCTTTCACTGAGACCTAACTGCTGGCAGTCTGCACATGAAGACAGCTGCACTGTGAGTGATTTTTTTCTTCAGCTGCAGAGCAGGCTTGCTGCCCTCCAGCTTTCCAAATGAAATGACAGATGTACATACCAGCAAACCAAACGCTGGCATAGCTGTACTTTCAATGCTTCAAGCAGGTGGGTCTGCATTTCCCTCCCTCATTTTAAAACACTACATTTATGCCCATGCACCAAACCATTCATTTGCCCCCCCCCTATTAATTAACAAGAAGGAACTGGGATTTGTTTGTTTGTGTTTGTTTGTTTAATTCGCGTGTGAAATGCTACTGGGTGACAAGGCAGAACTGCTCAACACCTACTTTGCATCTGCCTTCACCAGAAAGAAAAGCAGTGCACAACCTGATGAAAACAGAATAAACAATGCAAGGAGGGAACTGCAGCCCAGTATTGGAAAAGAGGTGCTAAGGGAACACCACACTACTTTAAAACTGCCTCTGCTGGGACCCTCCCTTGGGCTGTCTGGCTCCAACTCCCTGAACTCTTCTTATCCTTCTGCCTGGTCTGACCACTCCCTCTAGAACACCTCCTGTTCATGATACAATCTTACATTTATTTGCAAAAATATGAGCATTGGGTCTGCATGCAAAAATGTGTTCATTAGGAGGAATTCACACTCAAATGCTGTCAAATATTTATACGGGTTTTTATTTTTTAAAAATGCAAACAGCTGCAGAAATGTGGAGCATTGAAGTTTAAGACTGGAAACTTTCAAAAGCAAAAAAAGGACAGCTTCAGCTATCCCTGTTTGGAACTGACCTGCTTGCTATACCTGTCCACAAGTTCACAGTCCAACACACATGATGGAAAAGTGGACAGGAAAGGGTCAGGAAACTGCAGGTATCTACATCCTGGTCATTCCTGAGCATGCAAGCCAGTAATTCTATGTTCACATTCATTGCCATTCCAAAAAGGGAAAGTGTTTCTGTTTCAGCTTATCATCCCTAATGACCTTTGAGGACGTCTTTAAAGTGCATTTCAATGAAACTGACTTCAGATGTTTCTGGGGAGATGAAAGGAGCAAGACTTAACCCAGTGAATCACTGATGCTCCCAGAATAGCGTTGCTCTTCCTTGAAACATCACAAATCAGATTTGGCCTTTTGAAGGCAATCATTTCATGTTCTATCTCTGGCCTTCACTGGGGACGAGATGCTTTTAATGTGAGTTATTTCCGAAAATCCTTGAGAGGGTTCATTAGGCAGTGCTGGTTTGAAAACAATGCCAATCACAAAATCATTGTGTTTGGTGTCAATGAGAGTTCCAGCAGCGCAGAACTCAAGCCTGCTGCTGTCGTGCACACAATGATTGCTATGATGGAGCCACTAAGACCATGAGTTACAATCCTATGCCTGTACACAAAGAAGAAAATCCAATGGAGTTGAATTGGTTGGCTTGTAGTTGTTGAGCTTGTGAGAGTTAGAAGCCTTACGTTTATTTTCAGGGATGGAGAATAAATCTTGAGAGTTGGCATCATGAGTCCCACGGAGACATGGAAAGGATGGTCTGTGATAAGGAGGAAGGGGAGAAGCTCAGAAAATTGGCAAAGATTGACCCAGGCAAAGGTCCTAGTGGGTTGAGGGCTGAGAACTCAGAATCCCAAGAGGAGACTTGCCCAGGGGAAGGTCCCAGCAGATTGGGTGGGAGAGAACTGGATCCAGTGGCCCGTCAGAAGAGCAGCCCATCTCTGCGATACTGGACACCACAAACTCTATGCCATCAGCTATTGAGGTGGCTCTGGTGCCTTACCCTGTTAATGAAGAGCCTCTCCCTGGGGGGAGATGCCTGGGGATATGTCCACCAGTAAGCTGGCAACATCAACTCTGGCTCCAAGGATAACAGTGAAGGTGTGACTAAACCATGTGTGCCCAGCCTCTACAGAGGACTACTTGTTTGCTTGCCTAGTCCCAAGGCTCAGGGCATCAACCGTTCCAATAACTTTGCTTGCTCTACTCTTCAAAAGGAGAGCACAGGGGCATGTCAATTGGATCCTACCCACCCTCTCCATGGGGCTCATGTCAGGCAGCAATGGTGAGAGAAGAATGCTAGACTAGATGCAGTGCAAGATTACCAAATAAGCAGAGCAGGCACTGGCCTATGGGCCCCACATCTTTTAGGGGCCCCGTGACAACGGATCAAAACAATATTGATTTGATCTTGAAAGAAAATTACAACCAAGCTTTCTTAGTTCAATATTATCCTACTAGGGTATATCCAGATACAAAGCTTTCTGTGAGTTGGTGTGTCACAAGTTCCCGCCGACCCCGATTCCTAGTAGAATATTCACAAATAGAAGTATAAATATTGTTTGCTGTTGTACTTGTGAGCCCCCTGTCCTGAGATTTTGACTGCTGAGGGGCCTCCACAGGGTTTAATCCAGCACTGACTAGATGAGCCGTCGGTCTGATCCAGCAGTGCAATTCTTACATGCTCATGAGTCTCTCTGCAAATTGTGCTTTATGCCAGTTGCCATTCTTGTTGTCTATATCATTTAACTCACAACATTACATGCATGTCTCTCCCCTCTCTCTGTTTGTACCAACACCAACACCCCTCAGCCTCCTGAATCACTCAAAGTGTCTGGCTGAATTGACCTGGCAGACAGCGTTGCATCCCCACAGTGCCATACATGGGGGCAGAAAGCTTAAGAAGAATCCCACAAATCCTGACATTTATCTTAGTCAACCTTAATGAACTGCATCTGTTAGATGCATTGGAGGAAAACAGCTGCAGGGATTCCAAATTGCCTTAATTTCTGTCACAGGGTGCTCTCTGGCTTCGTAATTCCAGTTAATGTAATTGATAAAAGAAAAGGCCAGAAGCTGTTGGCTAACAATGACTAGCAATTTGGGGCAAGGAGGTGGCAGGCAGCTGAGATCTGGGACTAACAGCCCTGTAAAGGGTAGGCAATTTGTCGGTCAAAAGTTTCTGCTTGAGAGTTGCTTTGAGTGGAGCTGGGCTGGATGGATAAGGATGAACCGGTCAGATTATTTCCATCCTGTTCAGTTTTTCATGCATTTGATAATAAGCCTGTCCATTTTACTGCAAGGTGTGTGTGTGTGAGTTAATTGCATGGGGGGGGCAGAATGTACTCGTTTCTGCCTAAAACACACATTTTTGTACACATCACACTATTTTGAGGTGTGTGTGATGCCTTGTAATTCATACCTAATAATTGTGGGATAACCAGCCTCAGATAATCAGCATGTTGTTGTTGTTTAGTCGTTTAGTCGTGACCGACTCTTCGTGACCCCATGGACTAGAGCACGCCAGGCACTCCTGTCTTCCACTGCCTCCCGCAGTTTGGTCAGACTCATGTTTGTAGCTTCGAGAACGCTGTCCAACCATCTCGTCCTCTGTCGTCCCCTTCTTCTTCTGCCCTCAATCTTTCCCAACATCAGGGTCTTTTCCAGGGAGTCTTCTCTTCTCATGAGGTGGCCAAAGTATTGGAGTCTCAGCTTCAGGATCTGTCCTTCCAGTGAGCACTCAGGGCTGATTTCCTTAAGAATGGAGAGGTTTGATCTTCTTGCAGTCCATGGGACTCTCAAGAGTCTCCTCCAGCACCATAATTCAAAAGCATCAATTCTTCGGCGATCAGCCTTCTTTATGGTCCAGCTCTCACTTCCATACATCACTACTGGGAAAACCATGGCTTTAACTATACGGACCTTTGTTGGTAAGGTAATGTCTCTGCTTTTTAAGATGCTGTCTAGGTTTGCCATCGCCTTTCTCCCAAGGAGCAGGCGTCTTTTAATTTCGTGACTGCTGTCACCATCTGCAGTGATCATGGAGCCCAAGAAAGTAAAATCTCTCACTGCCTCCATTTCTTCCCCTTCTATTTGCCAGGAGGTGATGGGCCCAGTGGCCATGATCTTCTTTTTTTGATGTTGAGCTTCAGACCATATTTTGTGCTCTCCTCTTTCACCCTCATTAATAGGTTCTTTAATTCCTCCTCACTTTCTGCCATCAAGGTTGTGTCATCTGCATATCTGAGGTTGTTGATATTTCTTCCGGCAATCTTAATTCCAGTTTGGGATTCATCCAGCCCAGCCTTTCACATGATGAATTCTGCATATAAGTTAAATAAGCTGGGAGACAATATACAGCCTTGCCGTACTCCTTTCCCAATTTTGAACCAATCAGTTGTTCCATATCCAGTTCTAACTGTAGCTTCTTGGCCCACATAGAGATTTCTCAGGAGACAGATGAGGTGATCAGGCACTCCCATTTCTTTAAGAACTTGCCATAATTTGCTGTGGTCGACACAGTCAAAGGCTTTTGCATAGTCAATGAAGCAGAAGTAGATGTCTTTCTGGAACTCTCTAGCTTTCTCCATAATCCAGCGCATGTTTGCAATTTGGTCTCTAGTTCCTCTGCCCCTTCAAAATCCAGCTTGCACTTCTGGGAGTTCTCGGTCCACATACTGCTTAAGCCTGCCTTGTAGAATTTTAAGCATAACCTTGCTAGCGTGTGAAATGAGTGCAATTGTGCGGTAGTTGGAGCATTCTTTGGCACTTCCCTTCTTTGGTATTGGGATGTAGACTGATCTTCTCCAATCCTCTGGCCACTGCTGAGTTTTCCAAATTTGCTGGCATATTGAGTGTAGCACCTTAACAGCATCATCTTTTAAAATTTTAAATAGTTCAGCTGGAATATCATCACTTCCACTGGCCTTCTTATATTAGCAGTGCTTTCTAAGGCCCATTTGACTTCACTCTCCAGGATGTCTGGCTCAAGGTCAGCAACCACACTACCTGGGGTATACAAGACATCCATTTCTTTCTGGTATAGTTCCTCTGTGTATTCTTGCCACCTCTTCTTGATGTCTTCTGCTTCTGTTAGCTCCTTTCCACTTCTGTCTTTTATTATGGAAATCTTTGTACTGAATGTTCCTTTCATATCTCCAATTTTCTTGAACAGATCTCTGGTTTTTCCCATTCTATTGTTTTCCTCTACTTCTTTGCATTGCTCGTTTAAGAAGGCCTTCTTGTCTCTCCTTGCTGTTTTTTGGAAATCTGCATTCAATTTCCTGTATCTTTCACTATCTCCCTCGCATTTTGCTTGCCTTCTCTCCCCCACTATTTGTAAGGTCTCGTTAGACAGCCACTTTGCTTTCTTGCATTTCCTTTTCATTGGGATGGTTTTAGTTGCTGCCTCCTGTATAATGTTACGAGCCTCCATCCATAGTTCTTCAGGCACTCTGTCCACCAAATCTAAATCCTTAAACCTGTTCCTCACTTCTACTGTGTATTCATAAGGGATTTGATTTAGATTGTATCTTACCGGCCCAGCTTGGTTTTCCCTACTTTCTTCAGTTTAATCTTGAATTTTGCTATAAGAAGCTGATGATCTGAGCCACAGTCAGCTCCAGGTCTTGTTTTTGCTGACTGTATAGAGCTTCTCCATCTTTGGCTGCAGAGAATATAATCAATCTGATTTTGATGCTGCCCATCTGGTCCATGTGTAGAGTCGTCTCTTGTGTTGTTGGAAAAGAGTGTTTGTGATGACCAGCTTGTTCTCTTGGCAGAACTCTATTAGCCTTTGCCCAGCTTCGTTTTGAACTCCAAGGCCAAACTTGCCAGTTGTTCCTTTTATCTCTTGACTCCCTACTTTAGCATTCCAATCCCCTATAATGAGAAGAACATCCTTCTTTGGGGTCATTTCTATGAGGTGTTGTAAGTCTTCATAGAACTGGTCAATTTCAGCTTCTTCAGCACCAGTGGTTGGTGCATAAACTTGGATTACTGTGATGTTAAAAGGTCTGCCTTGGATTCGTATCGAGATCATTCTATCATTTTTGAGATTGCATCCCAGTACAGTACTTTTGACACTCTTTTGTTGACTATGAGGGCCACTCCATTTCTTTTACGGGATTCTTGCCCACAATGTGATGGTCATCCGAACTGAATTCACCCATTCCCGTCCATTTTAGTTCACTGATGCCCAGGATGTCAATATTTATTCTTGCCATCTCATTTTTGACCACATCCAATTTACCAAGGTTCATGGTTCTTACATTCCAGGTTCCTATGCAATATTTTTCTTTACAGCATTGGACTTTCCTTTCGCTTCCAGGCATATCCGCAACTGAGCAACCTTTCGGCTTTGGCCCAGCCGCTTCATCAGCTCTGGATCTACTTGTACTTGTCCTCCGCTCTTCCTCAGCAGCATGCCTTCTGACCTGAGGGGCTCATCTTCCAGCGTCATAACTTTTATATGTCTGTTGTCTTTGTCCATGGAGTTTTTTTGGCAGGGATGCTGGAGTGGCTTGCCGGTTCCTGCTCCAGGTGGATCACGTTTGGTCAAAACTCTCCACTATGACCTGTCCATCTTGGGTGGCCCTGCACGGTATAGCTCATAGCTTCTCTGAGTTATTCAAGCCCCTTCGCCACGGCAAGGCAGTGATCCATGAAGGGGGATAATCAGCATGCTCAAGTCTAATTAATGCATGAAGGGGTTAAGACCATAGAGTAAGCTGTCCTGCCAGGCTTATCTCACCCTGGAAGGAACTAGGTAATCAAGCCTATTGTTCATTGCCTTGTCCCCGCCCCAGAAGTCTAACTGATAACTCAGCAAGTGAAGAGGCTAAGCTGGTTGCATGGCCCTAACAAGCCTCTCTTGAGAGTTCCTATACTAATAATTTATGAACTTCCACCACTTTGCAAAATTAAGCCCAGTTTTACTGCCTGTGCAACATTTTCTAAATGCTGTATCTGGCCCTTTGAATTCTCCCAAGGCCTTGATTTGCACCCAGTACATTTTTGCTTGGCTGAAATGTGTCCAAATCTGATAATGCCTCCTGCTCATCAGGATGGAAGATAGAGAGGAATGTGCAAATATGTGTGGAAATTAGCCTACTCTACAAAGCTAAAATTTACCTTTGTTGCTCTGCCCAATTTCTTCTTTGGTTTCATTCACCACTGGTATGTGGCCTTCATGGGAGGACAGTGGGGGCCCAACAAAATTATCCCCCCCGTCCCTACTTGTGAACATAGGAAACTGTAATATACCAAGTCAAATAATTGGTCCATCTGTCTCAGCATTGTCTGCACTGTACCTGCTCCATCTATCTCAGTGGTCCATCAATTGCATTGGTTAATCTATCTCAGTATTGTCTATGCTGCACCTGTTCCATCTATCTTCATAGTCCATCTATCTCACTGGTTCATCTATCTCAGTATAGTCTATTGGCAGCTGTCTGGGCTCACAGGCATGAGTCTATCACAGCTCTTTGCAGCCTGGCAGCAGGGATTGGAGGGTGGGTTCTGATTTTGCCCCCAAAGAAGAACCTTCCTCACCAGCTAGTAGTGGATTGCACATTGACACACCCAAACACCCCACAAGGAGTTTTGGTCATTTGAGGCAGCCACTAATAGGAGCCCAAAATATGTGTTGCTTGGGAATTTTATTGCAAGGAGGGTCTGGTTGTTATACAAGAGAAGGCAGCTGTTGCCAGAAAGTGGCTCTTGCAATTTTCACTCAGTCCTCTTCAGATACAATCAGATCCATATTCTACTATGTGCCTTTTTGGCAGAGTGCAACTCACAGGGCAGGGAAAGTGACTGACTCAAGGACTGGGGAGAGAGTATATTGGTTGGCTGATTTCTTGTTCACAAAGGCAAGGAAGGTTGTTGTGTTGTTGCTGCTGTTCCCAAAAGGTCAGATGCCTTTGTTTTCCCAACAGCCAATCTGACCCCTTTCCTTTCTGTGTATGTTCTTGCAAAAGTCACATTTACATCATGTCTGTTACCCTTGGGCATAGCTGTCAACTTTTCCCTTTTCTTGCAAGGAATCCTATTCGGAATAAGGGAATTTCCCTTAAAAAAAGGGAAACGTTGACAGCTATGCCCTTGGGGTGTACGAGTGGAGACTGCTGAGGTGCAAAATTGAAGGAAGAATGTGTGCATATGAATGTTTATAAAAGATTCTTGATTTTCTAGCCCAGTGTCTTGCTAAATATATTCAATATGCTCAAATTACTTTGAATAAATATTTCCAATCTAGTATCAAAGTAATGTCATAAAGTGTTGTATTGAATTCACATGGAACATATTTAATCTTAGAGATATGCTGACTTTCTCTAATAATAGTTGATAGCAGTTCCAAGAATAATGAAATATAGGAGAGGTGATATTTGGTAACCTTGACATGTGCCACATTTTTGATTAAGCATGATTAATAATTATTGATAAAGAATTTCAAAGAACAGACCATGCTTTAAATTTTCATCCCAGGTTTTAATGTTCTTGTTAGAAAACACCATTCTATTCTATCAAAGGCATTCTGTGCATGCAAAAGAGAAAAAATGGTATTAATCCAATATTTTTGGCTGATTTTGATACAATCTATTTTTATGTTGTGTTGTAATTTCCTAAACTTTATGAAGCTCATTTGATCCTACAATTATGAAAGACAAAATCTTAGCATCCTTATTTAATAGAGGGATTAGCCTATAGGAACTAGGTAGTTTGGGATCTTTATCTTCTTTTATGGTAACTTTTATTGTCACTTCTGTCCAAGAATCTTACAGCTTTTTGTTGTTGAAGAGATGCATTAATTATGCTTGTGTTGTAGGTTTATAATTTTGTAGCAATACCATTATATTTTTACTTCCTCTTCTGTTACCAATAATTCTAATATTTCAAGGTCTTGATCAGAAACTTTAGCCAGAGAGATATTTGGGAAAAATAGCTTTATCCATTTGATCTTTAGTTAGGTTTTGAGATAAAACTGCTGGAAAAATATTTGCCATTTTGGCTGATGTTGTTGTCATTTTTCTTTGCATATTATAGCTGAAATTAAACTTCTTACTTGTTCTCTTTTAGTTGATGTGATAGTAACTTTATATTGCAAAACAACCTGTGATCCTTGGGTGAAGGGCTGTATAGAAATTTAAAGAATATAAATAAACTCCATTCAGACCAGGGTTGTTTTATAGAGTTAGTATATTTCTCTAGTTTCTCAGTTGGAAGTTTTTGATATATTAATTTCAAAGAGTTATGTTGTGCTCCAGTATCTCTGGGGTGTGCTTTTGTATGTGTTCAATTTCTCTTTTTGCAGTGTTTAATATAAGTTCTCTTTCTTTATTATTTTGATTTCCCCCATTGCTTGGTTGTTGCTGTTTTTTGTACTGTACTAGAATTCATCTGATGTAAGCTTTTGGTGAATTCCATATTTCAGGCCAGGTTACCTCAGGCATAATATTTTTGCTAAGTATAGATATATATGTCATTCATTTTGTAAAATAGTATTGTCTAAGTGCCATAATTTATCAGAACAATTGGAGCATGATCTGCATATATTGTAGGATAATTTTTTGTCATGCCACCATTTTATATGTTGTTGACAAGTATATAACTACATATAGCTATAGCAAATTTGCTCTATCTTATCAATATAGCTACAACAATTATTTTTATTTAAATAGAAATGCAAACATTAAGGAAAATTTGGATAAGTTTGACTGTGTTTTGGTTCTCATATTTTTTCTGAAACTGATTTGATAGATTAGGCTTCAAATGCAAATTGGATTGAATTCCCCAAATCCTTGGGGAGAAGTATACATAAAAATACATATATAAAAAGCATTATATGGGGGAACATTTTTTGCCTTTAGTGTCATCAGTACTCTGCCCATAGGGATTCAGCAGCCACCGTCTGCTTCAACTTGTAAACACTTGCTGAAAACTTTTCCAGTCTGCCAGACTTATGCAGGCAATTAAGAATATATATTTCCACAATAGCTAGCCAATTTCTGATTTTAAGTTTTTATATGCTTTTTAATTGTATGGCTTTATATACTATTGTTGTAAACCATTGTGATTTTAAAAAAAATAGTGGCATATAAATATTTATCTAAATAAATAATGTTGCATTTAGAGAAATTTGCATTAAAAAGCTGACAAATTTTCACAAGCACTTTAGCTTTTTTAAAAAATGCAAAGTGATGCATACATTTGAAGAACTGGGCCTAAGACTGGCAAAATGGGGATTAGACCCTCCCTAGTAGCCTCCTAGCACATTGCATGCAAAGGAACCAGTCCTGGTTCATGGGATAATGCAAGTACTTTTCAACCCTTTCTCATTCCTTCGCCTGACTCTTGTCATTTTGATGAGCATCTCTCCCCTAGAGCTCTGGAGCCATTCAGAAAGCAAGACCCCAGAAAAAAGGAAGGGAGGTGGAAGCAAAGGACTCTGAGCACGTAACCATGCATAATTCAGCAACATCAGGGACTCCCGTGATTCTCCCTCCAAACTCGCAGCCTGTTAAGTGCTGCATAAATCCCGTTGTGAATAAGGATTTGGTCTTTGTTTTCACAAGATCCTCATCCCAAGATGTCTGACAGGGAATTAAAAATTGACCATCGGGATGCGCTGGGAGGACTTAGCCAACCAATCCAATATATATATATATATATGAAAGCACTGTTTGTGAATCCTTGAGTGCCTTGGCTTTAAAGAGATAATATGAATAAATAATGGAAGAATTGCCTTTTTTCCCACTGAATTCACCCGTAAGTCATAAAAGGAAATGCAGTGCTGGAGAAAAGTAGCTGAGAGAAGTAAAGTGAGAGAGAGAGAGAGAGAGAGAGAGAGAGAGAGAGAGAGAGAGAGAGGAGGATAGGGAGAATGCAATAAAATAAAATAAAATAGCTCTTTTATCCTCTGGGGGAAAGGGTTATTTTTTCCCAAGCTGAAGCCACAAAGAGAATTAGAGAAAACGAAATAAATGTTGGATGTCCCATCCCTCTAAAGGTTAAATATGTAAGACCAGAGGAAGCTACGTAAGCAAGCCACTAGTCCACCTACCTTTGTACTCTCTACAATATGCCTTTGCATACCAGTTACTGGGAATCACAAGTGAGCAAAGCATTGTGGTCATTTCCTGCTTGTGAGCTGCCCATAGGCATCTGCCTGCCCACCGTGAGAACAGGATGCAGGATGAGCCATTGGCCTGATTCAGCAGGCTCTTCTTATGTTCTTATAGAATCACAGAATCATAGAGTTGGAAGGGATCCTGAGGACCATCGAGTCCAGGGTTTCCCAAACTTGGGTCTCTAGCTGTTTTTGGACTACAACTCCCATCATCCCTAGCTAGCAGGGATGATGGGAATTGTAGTCCCAAAACATCTGGAGACTCAAGTTTGGAAAACCCTGATCTAGTCCAACTTCCTGCAATGCAGGAATATGCAGCCGGCCTGTATGGAGATTGAACCCACGACCTTGGCATTATCAGCACCACCATCAGCTCTAACCAACTGAGCTACAGAGGTTCTTAAAATTAGGGGGGGGATGAGAAACTGGAATTTACGCATTCATCCAAACCTAGAACTATCACAGCTAAATTGTTTCTGAGGTGCTTGATCAATGTCAGGCATAGGCAAACTCGGCCCTCCAGATGTTTTGGGACTACAACTCCCATCATCCCTAGCTAACAGGACCAGTGGTCAGGGATGATGGGAGTTGTAGTCCCAAAACATCTGGAGGACCGAGTTGCCTATGCCTGATCAATGTGCATATATACACATCACAGACATGTTCAGGTTGGGAGGAGAGATTTAGCTCTGTCTTCCCCATCCTCCAGGGACGCGGGTGGTGCTGTGGGTTAAACTACAGAGCCTAGGACTTGCTGATCAGAAGGTCGGTGGTTCGAATCCCCACGACGGGGTGAGCTCCCATTGCTCGGTCCCTGCTCCTGCCAACCTAGCAGTTTGAAAGCACGTCAAAGTGCAAGTAGATAAATAGGTACCGCTCCGGTGGGAAGGTAAATGGCATTTCCGTGAGCTGCTCTGGTTCGCCAGAAGCGGCTTAGTCATGCTGGCCACATGACCCGGAAGCTGTACGCCGGCTCCCTCGGCCGATAAAGCGAGATGAGCGCCGCAACCCCAGAGTCGGCCACGACTGGACCTAATTGTCAGGGGTCCTCCCCAACCTCCAGAGATTTGGGAGTGGAAGTCCTCTCAACACTGACTATTAGCTGTGCAGGCTGGGGCTTATGGAAGCTGTAGTGCAAAACAGTCAGAGAGGGCACCAGGCTGGGGAAGTGAAAGCTATAACAAACAGCCTGCTTTGAGTTCTGGAATTAATTTTAGATTCCCTCCTATTTAAACTGGAATTCAGAAGGAGTGAAGTGCAGGGCAAAGTGAAGCCGTGAAACAATAATGGAAGAGGGAGAGCTAATCCACTCATCTTTAATCTTTCACAGCGTGGTGGAGAGAGAGAGAGAAATTAACAAAACACCTGTTCGTATTTTCATAGCTTAGTAGATGGCCAACACCAGCACTGTAAGTCAGTGTACGACATAATTAGTAAATAAGATCCAACCATTCAGCTTTCAAAGCCTCTTCCTTTTTCTCTTTTCTCTTTGCGCTCTCTCTTCTCTCTTTCTCTCCTTTCCCCTCTCAACAAGTAATTAAAGAGAGAGATTTTGTGGCTGCACCTGCTTTCATCAGAGGCTAACCACAGTGAATATAGACCAAATATTTTATTGATGAGAGCAGCCTGGAGTTTGGAACCAGGAAGGAAACACATCAAAACCCTGCCACTATTCCCCAAAGACATGTAAGAAAGCTCAAATTATTAAAACATATGGTGGTGCATGCTGATTCCTGACAGCTCTCGCTGTGGTTATGGGACCTAATTTCCTTTTCTTTTTCTCTGTTAAACGAACTTTCAGCTCTAAGTATTTCTTTCAAGACAGACGTTCATATCTTCAACTCTTCTTCAGCACAACTCTGGCAAAGTGAACAGTGATGACAAGCATGGATGAATGAAGATAATGCAGAGACCTTCCCCTTACAGACAGTCTGCAGATTTATTTGCCACCTGAGAAAGGATTAAGGGGAAAAAATAGAAATTAGAGAAAGCTGGGCTCATAGAGCTTATAGAAGGAAACTGGTGAGAATCTAACGCAGGGGTCAGCAAACTTTTTCAGCAGGGGGCCGGTCCACTGTCCCTCAGACCTTGTGGGGGGCTGGACTATATATATTTTTTGGGGGGGAATGAACAAATTCCTCTGCCCCACAAATAACCCAGAGATGCATTTTAAATAAAAGCACACATTCTACACGTGTAATAACACCAGGCAGGCCCCACAAATAACCCAGAGATGCATTTTAAATAAAAGGACACATTCTACTCATGTAAAAACACACTGATTCCTGGACCGTCCGCGAGCCAGATTGAGAAGGTGTTTGGGCCGGACCCGGGCCCCGGGCCTTAGTTTGCCTACCCGTGATCTAACACAATCTTCTATGCAGTCCTCAGAAGAAGTGTGATTCTGTGTTGTGAGAATAAAATGAAGAGGACAGAACCATGCACACCACTTTGAGCTCCTTGAATGTAAGAAATAAATGTAAGAAATAAAGAGATTTGTTACTGAGCTAAGATTTCCCCCTGAAATATGATGTTCTAATGAAGACGAGTCAAGTCATTGGCTATCTAGCCTGGTGTTTACTCTCGGACAGAAGATCTCCAGAGCTTCGTGTACAGCTAATTCTCAACCCAGCATGTCCGTTTAACTCGGGGATGGGGAACCTCAGGCGTGGAGTCAGAATGAAGCCACCCAGGCCACACTCTTTATTGGCCTTTCTTCACATTTTGAGTGCTTTCTCACGGGTTTTCCATTAGGGCATCTGGTTGGCGACAGTGAGGATGCTGGACTTGATGAGTCATTGAATTGATCCATTAGGCTCTTTTTATGTTCTTAGGACATATGCTCTGTCACCAAGTGATGACTCCCCACCCCCACTCCCCAAAAAGCTGGCGGACAGGAGGTAGACCTGGCAGAGGATCACAGGAATTGTCATCTCCCATCAATTCCAATTAGCTACTTCATCTACGCATTAAACATGTATTGCAACTCACCCTGCCCATTCTGAACGGGGAAGGAGCAATCTTTTAAGGAAATAAATCAAATTGGCATCATAAACTCTAGCTACTGTACGAAGCTTATCCAAACGATTCTCTCTCAAGAAAACAAGACAGCTGCATGACTACTATCTTCGCAAAAACATGTTCTTCTAATCAAGATCATCATTCAGATCATTTACGTCTTTCTGCTGGGAATGGTGGAGGGTGATTATTTTTCTATATACACTGTCAAAAGACCATGAAAATTACATTGTCATAAACCAGAATGAAAAGGATGGGATTCATTTAGCAGATGGATCAGTGTGGGCGAACAACAGAGGGGGGGGCATTATCTCCTCCCCGCCGCAACTGCCCAGAAGTTTCTTATCTCTGTGTTTTAGAGAAGTAGCCTGTATTGAGTGGTTGAGTGCATTATTTTCTTTAAAAGGGAAATCATACCAATGGATTTTAGCCACAGCTCTGCTTGTCAGTTTGCTACCACTTTCTACTGAAGGCCTTTGTGGGTGCCCGGCCCCCACAATTATATTATTGTGGGTACCGAAGCATCCATGGCCCCCTGGAGTTGGCTCCCATGGAATGTTATCAGAAATCTTATCAGAAAGAAAATGCCTCCTGAAAATAATTGACTCAGCTCTGGCCTATTAATCCACATCAGGCTCTGTTGCTTGGCAACCAGAAATTCAACAAGTAGCAGAAGGCTGGCCTTGAATGGCCTTGCAAAGGCCCAGTCCAGTTCCCTCCCCTTCACTTTCGAGACCAAGGAGAGCCAATCAGATTACATGGAGCTCTGACCAATCTAGGATCAGGATGGAATGATTACACCTTCATTCACAAGGAGCCTCATTCCCTGCTGGCCCTTCCTCGTGGGTGCAAAGAGGGATTCTGTTTAACAGGAAGCATTTGAGTTTGTGTTCTATTTTATTTTGTATTTTTCTTACCTGCCTTTCTCTCTCTCTCTCTCTCTCTCTCTCTCTTTCTTTCTTTCTTTCTTTCTTTCGCTTTTCACTTCTGTCCTGAGAAGTTTGTCTTATGAGGTGACATGCAAATGTGATAATTAAATAAAACAAATAGCATGCATTGTTGCAAATACATTCAGGCTAAGGAAGGGGAAATCTATCAGTTCCGATTTCTCAGTCGCTCATTTTTTAAAATCTTCAGTTCTCCACATTCTCACACGAAACTTCATCAGCACCTCAGTGCAAATTTCTTCATATATGCACATTTTTTCTTGCTGTTTTGCCTAATTGATTTTCCTGAATATAATTCATTTTATAGGTTATTTTCATTAATTTTTATGCATGATTTACCCTAGTATATGTATTACTTGGTTGAAGAACAGCATTGCAAAGTTTGGATGTGTGCCCCCGTAAGTATGGCTGTGTTTCTGCTCAAATACCTTTCTGGAAAGCATAAATATGTTACGTTTGCCTTGAAAGATGAACTGGTTCAAATTTTTCCCCTGTCCCTAGTCTCCAGCTGAGAGAAGCCTGATTAGTTTCCCCGGGAAACTTGCTGAGCGCCCTTCAATTGAGGGGCACTGTCTTGCCAAGCTTAGCAGTGGACTCTGGTGAGGCAATTAGCAGTGCACTTTATACAGTGTGTGCTTGTCTGAGAATGAATCGCAACACAAATAGCTTTTAGCTGTGTGGGAACAGGGACACAATTTCCAGCGCTATGTATCTGTATATATTTAGCCACGGTGGTATCACAGCCACCTACATTTGTCAAGTGGAGGAAATGTGTTTTCGTGTTCTCTGGTGTTTGCATGTCTTAAATGTGGCTTGCAAATTATGTTGTGTGCCTTGCAGCAATAGGCCAAAGCATAGCAGGCTGCCCTAGCGCATAGCATTCAAGCATGCTGAACCTGATGAGAAAGACTCTCCGCTCTTGCATTTTGAGATATGAGCCTAGGCGTTTCTGTCCCTTAGGTAAAAAGGTATCACCACTGTGGGAATACTGGATTCGAATGGCTTTGAGATTTCGCTACAGACTTGCCAGAGTATTCAAGGAAGAAGCAAGGAGAGAAGCCAGGTTCCATCATCATCATCATCATCATCATCAATGTTGCACAGTGGTACCTCGGGTTAAGTACTTAATTTGTTCCGGAGGTCCGTTCTTAACCTGAAGCACCACTTTAGCTAATGGGGCCTCCCACTGCCACTGCGCCGCCGGAGCACAATTTCTGTTCTCATCCTGAAGCAAAGTTCTTAACCCGAGGTACTATTCCTGGGTTAGCGGAGTCTGTAACCTGAAGCGTATGTAACCTGAAGCGTATGTAACCCGATGTACCACTGTACTAGCATTTGATGGTAGAAAGGATTTGGGGAGGGAACCACAATGATGATAAAGGGCCCTGAAGGCAAATCATAAGAGGTTGTGCAATTCACCTCTACCT